TTATATATTTAAATATATAAATAAATATTTATAAATATGTGTATGTATAGGTCAAAAAATCTGATTTTTGAAATGTGAAAGTTGTTTTGTTATTTTTGAAATAGGGTAAAGATGAAGTAGGATAAATGAATTTTTCCCAAAAATTTATTCCCTTAAATTTTAGGGAAGCCCAATCCATGAACGTAGCTCAGCAAACACGACGGGCCAATAAATAGCAAAACAATGCTGGACCTCGATTTGTTGGATCATCCCGTACTAATCCTTGGATCTGTAAAGCCCACGGTCCTTGAAATATTGGCCCATTCCCTACATGAATTTGAATGAGGATATGGTCTTAATTAGTTCGGGGAAAGAATTTCAAATGCATTACTGACAATTACAAATGTATTATAGATAAAATAAAATTATGTCGCTAAACTTTTACGTTGTTGATGAGATTGTATGACGTTGAATAGAGACAAATTATGTCATTACGATTAAATTAATGTTCGGATGTACATAATTTTTTTCATTTCTAATTACACATAATTTTTTTCATTTCTAATTACTTTAACTTTTAAATGATACGGTTAAACACATATTTATTTGAAACTCAACGAGTTTTGAAGCGAGTTATTTTTTATCCTCGCAAAAGAGTTAAACCTTTGTTCGAAATGTTGAATTAATTCGGAATATTCCATGGGGTGGTCCAGGCTGCCAGATAATGCAATAAATAAGGACCTCAAGTGTGAATAAAACCAGTTGGATAGTAAAGCATCCCAACATTATGGGCATTTAGAGAAATGAGCAGTTAGTTTTTTGTCTTGGAAGTATTCAATGTCATTGTTAGAATTGGTACAATAATGGAAAAGAGGAGGGACAAGTTTGTAATGCACAGCAGTGTTAAGAAGACACCTCAACAAAAGAAGATTGTAGGAATGTGAAATTTATGTCTTTCTTTTGAAATTGTACATAAATTATATCGAATTGTCTGGACGATGTATCATAATCTTGAGTTGGAAAAGAACCCTTACTCATGACTTGAGATGTTTAAAGTCAAGATCTAACTCAAGTGGTAAGATCGAAGGTTTATCAGAATAACGACCTCGAACCCTTGTGAGGGAGGGGTGAAATCCATGATGCATCTTTCATTATTTGGGATAGCATAAGTGCTTAGTTATTTGACAAATGCTTTGCCAATTAAATAATATTACTTATGGTTGTTCCTTGTATCACTTTTAACGCTGAGATACCTCAAAAATTGTAACTTGGCGTTGATTTAGAGCAAGATAATGATAATGGGCTTGCACTTCCCTTTCATCAGTACAAGAAAAAGTGAAAAAAGGTAATGATATTACTTACATGACAAGAAACTCACAAAATTGCCCAATCTATTGCTTAAACCTGGGGGGAGACAACTATTCTTAAAATATTGACTTCTAGAATAAACCCTGTAATGAATAGAAGATAAGATTATAATTAAATCAATAATTCGAATTTAAAGACAAAAACTTTAGAGATTCAATGAGATCTAAAGACACGACATTAATTATGTTCTTGTCCTGTCTTTAGACAAACATATGATAAGCACGCAGAAAAGTTTTGAGTTCTGTTCTTGATTCATACCATTTTGGTTTTGTAACTTTCTTGAAATATCCACCAGTTAGGACAAGATTAGAGGGTTTCGATGTAATTCCTTAACTAATTTTTTTGTTCGAGTAAGAGAGAGCAGTTTTTTTTTTCCCCCGTATAAAAGTAATCCCATTTTCTCATAATGGGTTGAAGAAATCCGTTAAGATTTAATGATGGACTACGTGTTTGTATCTCGAGTTTGATGGTAGTTAACTTTATATAATTGAATTTATTTGGATTGTTATCTAAGGCCCTGTTTGATGGGCTTGGTTTTCCATGGAAGTAGCCAAATATTTTCCTTTTCCAACCTTAATCAATGTTTGATAGCAAAAGTTTTCCATGGCATTGCTTTTCTACCTTTTCACTCCACGCGCCAATTTGCCTACTTTTTACTGAAAATACTTTCCTAATGCTTTGCTGGGTTTATGTTTTCCAGCTTTATGGGTTTTTTTTTTTTTTTTTTTTGTTTTTGTTTTTTTTTTGTTTTTTTGTTTTTTTTTTTTTGNCCCGTATAAAAGTAATCCCATTTTCTCATAATGGGTTGAAGAAATCCGTTAAGATTTAATGATGGACTACGTGTTTGTATCTCGAGTTTGATGGTAGTTAACTTTATATAATTGAATTTATTTGGATTGTTATCTAAAAGTGATATGTATAACTAGAAGAGTTTTTAGAAAAAATGACATTTGGTGATTTCTTCGTGAAGCTCTTTTACAAGAAGCAAAAGCAAAAATAAAAATACTGCCAGATAGTCCCTAATATAACATATAACCAGGTAAACATACTGTATTACTACAACTGAAATATGGTAAAAAAAATCATACAAGTTCTGAAATACAAAATGACTAAAATGCCTTACAAAATGAAATTCAATGTCATTCAACAAGCACTATAAACTGGATAGC